TCTCTCCAGAAACTGGAAGTAAATTGCACACCCCTATCAGAAATTATTCTTTTCGGAGACCCATGTAGTCGGTAAATCTGCCGAATAAATAACTTTGCGAGGGTTTTTGCTGAAGGGATCTTTGAGCAAGGTATGAAATGTACTTGTTTAGAAAACAAATCAGTTACTACCCAAATGACAGTGCAGCCCTCACTGTCGGGTAAGTCCACCACAAAATCCATAGATATTTCCTTCCATGGGGCGTTCGGTCTAGCCACACTTTGCAGTAATTCAGGGGATTTTCCTGGAGGTCTTTTAGCCGAGGCACATACTGGACAGCTAGCCACATATGTCTGTATGTCCTTTTTTAGTGCAGGCCACCAAAACTGTCTCTTAACAAGATGTAAAGTTTTGACAAACGCAAAGTGTCCTGCGGCTTTGGCATCATGCGCATATTTCAATACGGTTGGTCTTAATGTGGTCGGAACATACAATTTCGATCCAACCCAAGCTAGTCCATTGCGAAGTGTGCATTCATTCGAGTGGATTTTAAACCACTCGTCAGCTTTTAGTGCTTCTCGTAACTTTTCGAGTAAATCCCCTGAGAGTTCTGGATTGGTTTTACTCTGCGCTCTGGTAGTGACAGGTGTTGCCAATTGCGTTAAGGGGATCATTGGTGGAACCAGTTCCTTCTTTATGCTGTTGTACTGTGGCAATCTGGAAAGTGCGTCTGCCATGAAATTTTTTCCCCCAGGCAGGTAACGTAAAGTGAAATTGAAACACTTGAAATGTTGGGCCCAGCGTGCCTGTTTGGGTGACAATTTGCGTGGTGTTTTTAATGCTTCTAGATTCTTATGGTCAGTCCACACCTCGAAAGGATGTTTTGCCCCTTCCAAAAATTGTCTCCATGTTAACAGCGCCCATCTAACTGCAAACGCTTCCTTCTCCCATATGGCCCATCTCCTTTCTGTTTCAGATAGTTTATGGGATGTGTAAGCACAGGGTTGTAATATTCCATTCTCATTCTTTTGCAAGAGTATCGCTCCTACGGCAACGTCGCTAGCATCCGCTTGTATTACAAAAGGTTGTTCTATGTCGGGGTGTTTGAGCACAGGTTCAGCTGCAAACAGCCGTTTCAGTTTTTCGAAAGCGGCCTGACAGTCCATAGTCCATTCTAGTGGTTTCGAGGGTTTGGGTTTTATTTCCCCTTTTGTTTTGAGCAAGTTTGTAATTGGCAGTGCGATTTTTGCGAAAGAGGGGATAAATTGTCTATAAAAGTTAGCAAACCCTAAGAAACTCTGTAACTGTTTACGGGTACGTGGTGCGGCCCATTCCATTACTGCCCGGACCTTTTCCGGGTCCATCTCTATTCCCTCATGCGATATACGATATCCAAGATAGTCGATTTTGTCCTGATGGAATTCACATTTAGAAAGTTTAGCATAGAGTTCAGCTGCTCTGAGTTTATTCAAGACCGCTCGAACCAATCTTATATGGTCGGCCATGTTGTCAGAATAAATTAGAATATCGTCCAAATAGACCAACACCCCCTTATATAGATGCTCATGCAACACTTCGTTGATCAACTGCATGAATACGGCCGGGGCCCCCTGTAGTCCAAAAGGGAGTACTCTAAATTGGAAACACCCCAGTGGGCAATTAAATGCTGTCTTCCATTCATCTTCCTCTTTTATTCTCACTCGGTAGTATGCCTCTCTTAAATCAAGTTTGGTAAAAAATTTTCCTTTTCCTAAATGGGCCAACATGTCCTTCATAAGTGGGAGGGGATAGACATTTTCCACGCAAATGGCGTTCATGTTTCTATAATCAACAACTAATCTGAAGGATCCATCTTTCTTTTCGCGGAACATTACTGGCGCTGCTACCTTGGGTTTGGCTCGTTCGATAAATCCCCGTTCTAAGTTTTTGTCAATAAAATTCCGCAATTCCTCCAATTCTCGAGGTGTCATGGGGTATATTTTTGGTTTGGGAAGCTTCACCCCTGGGAGTATTTCAATGGTGCAGTCAGTGGCCCTGTGGGGAGGCAGATTATCAGAAGCTTTTTCACTAAAAACTTCCTTGAGGTCCCAATATTCCTTCGGAATTTTCTCTTCTCCCTCAATATAGTTAATGGCTACTGCGGCCCCTTCTGGTCTTATGTCGTCCCTTAGGGAGGGGCCTTCCTTTTCCGGAGGTGGTTCTGCCGTACGGATGCGCAGGACCCCCGTTTTCCAATTTACTCGTGGGTTCCATTTACGAAGCCAGGGCAGTCCTAGAATTAGGGGCCTTTCCATGCCAGGGGCTACAATAAAGCTGAGCTTTTCTATATGATTCCCCAACTGTAGTTCGAGGGGTTCGGTCATAAAACTAGCTGGGCCCCCCCCTGCAATCGACCCATCTAATTGACAAAATGCAATGGGTCTTTTTAAAGTTTTCAGTCTCAGTCCCATTTCCTCCACTACTTTGGGGCTAATTATGCACCTAGTGCACCCCGAGTCCAACAGGGCTAACAATTGCGCGTGAGTTCCTGTGGAGGGCACCCTTACTTCTACGGGGATGAGTAAGGGTTCTACCGTGTGACTCACCCGTTCATCGGTGTCCGAGTCGGAGTCTGTCTCGCTGTCGTCATCGTTGGTCGGAGTTCCCAACTCACGCTGGTTCCGGGGAGTGAACTCAACGACTTCTCCTTTCAGGGCGGTGCCGTGGGTTTTGGCGGGTATTTTATCGCTTTTCTTTTGGCTGGCCCCGGTGGCTTTTGGCGGTGGTTTGGAGAAACATTCGGCCGCCCGGTGACCCTCCTTCCCACATTTGAAACAGGTGAAGGGCTTTGACTTGGGTTTGAATTCGGTCTTCCCGCCAGTCATCTTGGCCGCCCCCTTACGGTAGAGAGAGGATGACTGGTCCCCCATCCGCCTTCCTCGGAGTTCGCTCCATTTCAGCTTGATCTCCACATCCTCAGCTACTATGTACCATCTATCCAAATCATCGGGGACCCCCATGCTCCTGCAATCTCGATATATCTCATCATTCAATCCATCCTTGAAACTCTCCAAAAGCGCCATTTCTGACCAGCCTGTCATATAAGGTGCCAGTTCATGAAACTCTTGGATATACTCTGCCACCGGCCTCCGGCCCTGCTGAATGCTCTTCATTCTGAGTCTCGCCTTTCGTTCAGCTAAATGGTCTTCAAAACGTCTTCTAAGGGCCCTCATGAACTGGTTGTAATTTCTCAGCAGGAGGGAGTTGTTATTGTGGAGAACTACCATCCACTCAGCCGCCACTCCCTCTAGGGCATTCGCAATGCTTCTGACTTTAGCCGCATCTGTTTCGTAGTCCTCCCCCCAATCCTGCATGTGGTTCCACACTTGGGTCAGGAAAAATCCCAAGGTTTTAGGATTTCCATCAAACTTTCCAGGAGGGGGGGGGATTTTTGGTTTTTTACGTCTGCGGGGGGGGGGCCTGCAGGGCTGGGGTTCTCTGGCCGGCTGCATCTCTCCCTCGAGCTGCCGCAGCCTGGGATGTTCCCTCCTCAAACTCTTCCTCTCCCCCGCAGGCTGTCTCTTCTGCCTCCCCCCTGGGGTCTGCTTCCCCCTTCTCCACAGGAGTTTCAAAAGACTCACGGTTTTTTCTGCTTTCTTCCACATCACGGATAAGCTGCAAGGCTTGATCTATCATGAGACGTTCCTTCTGCTGTTGCATCCACACTGCCTCCCTTTTTCGGGGTCTGGAAGTCTTCACTCCCCGGGGATTCTCCCCCCAGTCCGGCAGTCTGCCCACACCTTTGGACCATCTAGCTTCCTCCGGTTCCAAACGGAGTTTTTCCAGCCATTCTGCAGTTTCTCTTTCCGACTGGAGGGCGGTTGAACTCGCTGCCCCCATCTTCCCTTCGTCATCACTCCCTCGATCTGACATACTTTGGATTTTCAGTCCCCTCGGGTTTTGTCCGGGATGACTGAGATGTCTTCCAGCTTAATGTCAGGTATGCTTCCTTCAGTATCCAGGAAAGAAAACCCCAAACTCAAGCATTTTGAAGAATCTGGTACTTTTACTGAATATGAAAAGATTAACATCCCAGTGAAAAGCTGGAAGTGATCAAACCGCGCGAAATGCATCTACTAAGCTTCTTCCCCCCCTCGTGTTTATAGTTTCTCAGCCAATCTAAAGGTCTTCCAAAGGTCAGGTGGCAACACGTCTGGTAGCGTCATCCATCAGGAATGTCGAGACAGTTGGTCGGCCATCCCCTTCTGAAATCCAGTTTCGATTCCCACGAAGTCCCCTCCTACAAAGACAAACCCCCTCCTGCTCTCTTCCCCCCCTTTGCTCCATACCTAATCCCTCCCCGTTTCTTATGGCAGCTAAAGCAGGAAAGCTGATGCTGACAGACGGCTTCTTGAGGAGGGGCCTCACCACTGCCTCTTTCAAGGTGGCAGGGAAGTGACCCTCACTCAACGAAGCGTTATCTATGCTGGAGATGGGTGAATATCATTTTTCCTGACTTAACTTTATTTCATATCATTTTGAATCCCACCCAAAAAACGCTGCACATTGTGGCACGTTTTTTCATACCATATACTGTAGAATGTCCTATGCACTTCCCTAGAGAGCATACATTTTGCAAGAGATTTTTCAGATAAAATGCGTTTGTACATATTTTCTTTTAATATTGGCATTCTTCTGTATTTTTTTTCTAAAGATGCACATTTGTATATATTTTTGAGATATGAACTTACTAATGTTTTTAGTGCCCAAATTTTATTATACAATTGGAAAGTTCTAATTGGATAGTATAAATAAAAGTGCTATATTTTCAGGGAAGTCACAATTGTGGCCATAGCAGGGTCTCTTCCAAAGAAAGCCTCTTGCTGGATTTGTAGCAAGTATATATAATTTTCCTTTTCCCAACTATGCATAAATACTTGGACTTGTCCCAAAATATAGCTGGTCAGGAGATTAATTTCTGGAGGACCCTTGCTGTTTTGTGGAGCAATTAATGTGGATAAAAGCAAAACTGTCGTTATATAATGGTTTGTTTAGATTTTTTTTAATTACTTTCTGTGTAAATACATTTAAAGTTGTATTAAAGTTTGTAGCACAGTTCAGTTGGTAACACAGTTCAGTTAGTTACAAATCTGAAAGGATAAAACTCTTCAGTGCAGTATACATTTTCTTATGCATGAATTTATTCGTGTCTAGGAGAATTGAAACGGTACAGTAAGTGAACAGATTTTCTCTCTCTAGATAAGAAGTTTTAGCTTCTTTAGGACTATATTTTTAAAATTATAGATCTGTTCAGTATATTATGCGGAATTGTATGGTTGGAAAGTATCTCAAAAGCTCTTTAGGCCAGCTCTCTTGTAAAATATCTGTTTATCATGACTGTCTTATGGCAAAATCTCCAGATAATATTTAGTCTTTGAAATTCTCAATATAGCCTTGTTATGCTATTTTATTATATCCTGCCCATATTATTGCTTCATCCCCTGCAAAAATGGAAGCATTGAATCATGGAATGCCTGTAGTGTAATTTTTATCAAGACACACACAATGAATTATGAACACTTCTTCTTAGCCTATTTTCAGAATGGACAGAAGAATTCAACCTGCAGTTTCTTTTGGCAGTTAAAGATTCCAAAGTTTGCCTTTGTAGCTTGTAGAATTCATATGTGTGACATTAAAGTAGGCTATGAACAAATACAGAAGTTTTTATAAAGCTTTTTCTAAAGTGTTTTTTACCACGTGTCACAATGAACTTTGTGTTACATATTGACACTTTTTAAAAATGAAATCTAGGTAAGTGATCATTAGTAAATTTTGACTTCTTGTAACATATTGAGAGTCAGAGATCAGCCAGACTTTAAGAGACAAGGTTAGAAACCAGGAGACCATGAGTTGTAGTCCTGCCTTGGGCACTCAGCCAACTTGATGACCTTCGGCCAGTCACTTCCTCTCAGCCCTAGGAAGGAGGCAATGGCAATCCACTTCTGAAAAACCTTGATTGAATTGAAAAAACAAAACAAAATTAACACTAGGCCAAGGAAGGTAAAGGGGTGTGTCTACACTGAATGCTACTTTATGCTGCTGCTAATACTACTACTATGAAGGAATAACTGTTGTCTTACTTGGTGTTTGAGAGTTAAAACTACTTATAAGTACTTCTCAAATTATGCTTGCAGTTGTGATCAAGATTGCTATCACTAAGCAATGTAATTGTAAAGCATGATATCACATGAGCCCATCGCTTAGCAGTGGTAATTCAGGCACTCCTGGTTGTTATCACAATCCAAGATGTGATGTGCAAGTTCTTAAGTGGGAAGTGGAAGGAGTCCCAGCAAGGCGGTGTCATAGGAGGGTGGGGGAACCCTGGGAGGTCCTGGGCAATCATGAGTGAATTGGGGGACTGGGGGTTACAGTGCAGTGTGATTTCAGAAAACCTGGAAAAGAGGGTGTGGAATGTGTGCAAATGCATGGAGGCTGGAGAAGAAAGGTTTTGGAGTGCATGTGTGTGTGTGTGAGTGCGGGAAGGCTGGAGAAAGACAATGTGGGATTTGTGTGAGTGAAGGGAGGAAGGGGGCTAGGAATGTGTGAGTGAAGAAAGACCAGGGGTGAAGGTGGATTTGCAACGTTCCTTGCAGCTTCCCCATTGACTTTATGGGAAGTCTTCAGGGAGATTTGTAAATGGGGATCATGTGACTGTGTGAACTACCAGAGTTTTAAGAACTGGATGTAAAATCCCTTCGTTCAATGCCACCTGTAATCCTTTTTGGACCATTATTCAATCATCTCCATTCTATTTCATAAAAGGAATCTTTTTTAAATGTTCAGTAAAAAAATCTTTAGATACAATATTGTACACAATTCTTTCATTTAATCTTAGTAATAAGATGGTAAAGGTAAAAGTAAAGAGGTAAAAAGGTAAATATGTACTTTTCTTTAACAAAAGCAAATTTTAAAAAATCTTCAGCCTTCCTGACTTTATAACTTTAATTATATCTACTGTAGAATACCAATCCTTCAGCTCACAATACAAAAATAAGTCAAAAGTCATTTTGGTGCCTGATAAACTTTTCATCATATATGAACAACATTTCTACTTTGTCTGGAATATTGGCTCTTATCTATGGATATAATTGCCTTGGTTCTAATGTGTTTCATGATTTCAGTTCTATCTTTACCTGTGTAATTGACATTTTAAGGGTTTGTCTTTATTTGGAGGACTACACCTCTGTATAATATACCTTATATATATCACAATAACTTTTTTTCTAGGAGATGAGAAGGGGAGGAGGATAGGGGAGACTATAAACTATCAAACTCTATTATTGTTAGTTCAGTTATTTTTTTATTTTTAAAATGTCTTGAAGGATTTATCTTGCATGTAACTCTGAGGAACACTCAGTAGTGCAAACATCAAAAAGCTTTTGTTCCATGTGTTGTTGGACTAAATTCACATAATTTATTATCCTTAGCCAGTATGGTTAATACTGATCAGAACTGTAATCTAACAACACCTGGAAGAATATCATTTTTTGGATGGTGAGATGGGCGGCATATACATTTATTAAATAAATAAATAAATAAATAAATAAATATTTTGCCACAAAAGCATGTAACTCCACATAATAAATTGTTGCAGTTTAGAGAATTGGACTGGGCATTCGTGATTTCTGCTGAACCTGCAAAAGCTCTCAGTCAGGCTACTACTTAGGCCCAATTTAATGTTATAATAAGAATTAAAGGGAAGTTGGATGAACCCTGCTTAGAGCTACTTACCAGCTTTGTGGATTCCTCCCAGAGCTGGTATATCCTTCATGTGGGTAGAAGCTTTCATTCACTAAATCTTCAGTCTTTTAGTTTTGCATTTGAATGGGCCAGACAATAAGAGCTAGTTTGGTTAAATAAAAATGCACCCTCCATGCAAGCCAGAATCCAGTTCAAAAGGAATTTGGGACATATTTTGATGTACTAGTCTACAAAATATTAAGATTTATATCCTCCTGTTTCTCCAGGATTTTAAAGTGCGTACATAGCATCCCCCCCCCTTCAGTTTTTCCCTGTCACAACACCTATTTAAAGTAGGTTGGTCTGAGACAGAATAAGTGGCTCACAGTCACAGAGTGGGCTTCCACGACTACAAACAGACTAGAATCAGGATTTCCTTAATCCAGTGTCTTAACCACTATACCTCGTACAGTAGTTCCATCTGCCTGCATACATCTGTCAAACTGATTTGATAATTTGAACCAGAATCATAAGGCTGGAAAGGAACCTTTAGGCTACTGACTTATTCACTTGCCTGAAAGCATCCCAATCAAATGGCTATGAAGTTGCGACGTGAGTATATGTAACTTAATTCCACTATTCTATGCTCTGTACTCTGGAATGTAAAAACGACTTTCCACTTTTATGTCACATCCTTTTAAGTACAGTTAACTATTTGTTTAGTGACCATTTGAAGTTACAATGGTACTGAAAAAAGTGACTTATGACAGTTTTTTATATTTATGATTATTGTAGCATCCCCATGGTCACATGATCAAAATTTGGATGCTTGGCAACTGGCGTGTATTTATGATGGTTGCATTGTCCCAGGGTCATGTGATCATGTGCTTCTGACAAGCAAAGTCAATGAGGAAGCCAGATTCACTTCGCAACCACGTTACTAACTTAACAATTGCAACGATTCACTTAACAATTGCAGTAAGAAAGGTTGTAAAATGGGGCAAAACTAATTTAAGCCATGGTGGTGCAGTGGTTAGAATGCTGTATTGCAGGTTAACTCTGCCCACAGCCAGGATTTCAATCTGACTCTGTGGTTGGCAAAATGGGGACCCAGATTGTTGGATCCAATATAAATGTAATATAATACTGTTAACTGCTTAGAGAGGGCTGTATGAAGCGGTATATAAGTGTAAGTAATAAAATCGGCTATTATCATTAACAAGTGCCTTGCTTAGTAATGAAAATTTTGGGCTCAATTGTGATTGTAAGTAAAGGACTACCTGTATTTGATGAATGTACCATGTTTTTTCCATTAATTGTCTTTTCTCAAAGCTCAACAGACCAGACCAGCTCCTTCAATCTTTCTTTACAGGTCTTAATTTTTATTTTTCTGATCATCCTTGTTGCTCTTCTCTGAATCTTTTCCAATTTGCTTGAATTATCAGTGTGCTTCCAGAACTGGATATAATATGTGAGATAGATTTTGGCCAAAGCAAAATAAAATGGATAGTTAATTTCCATGATTTGGAAATTAGTTATATTGATGGAACCAAACATTGTTTGTTATATAGCACTGTCACATTCCTGGATCATATTCAGTTTACTACTTTCCCAAGATCTCTTTCAAAAGTGCCAGGTGTTTCCACTAGTTTCTGTGTAAGGGATTGTTGAGGACTTAAGTGTATATTTAGTATTTGTCCAGATTTATCAGTGCAGATTTTTCCTCTTGCTTCTCAAAATGTTAATTACTAGTAAATGACAACTGTCATCGAGTTTCTGATATTTACTATAATTTACTAAATTTTTAAAATATCCTAAATGGCTGATCTAATAATGGTCTCATTTGCAATAGATAAATGTATATTTAAAAATTAATTATCTAAGTAATGAAAGAATATGGTTTAAAAGGTAGGTAAATTGAGGACCCAGTTGTGGGGGCAATAAGCTGACTTTGTATAAAATATACAAAAGTATGAAGGCTATTGCTTAATGCATTGTAAGCCACCCTGAGTCTCCAGAGAAGGGCAGCATATAAATCTAATTAAAAAAAAAAAAAAGCCAAACAAATAGTTTCACTTTGAATTTTGTGAGAATTTGGACAATTATGATGATAGGTTCTTATGCTAGGTATTTGGACTTAATAACCAAAGGAAAAATAGCAATAGCAATAGCACTTAGAGTTAGATACCGCTTCACAGTACTTTACAGCTCCCTCTAAGTAGTTTACAGAGTCAGCATATTGCATATTGCCTCCAACAATTTGGGTCCTCATTTTACTCACCTCAGAAGGATGGAAGGCTGAATCAACCTTGAGCCTGGTGAGATTTGAACTGTCCGCAAGTAGATTCATTATTTTTCTACTTGCTCTATTTTTGCTTGGTAACCCCACCACAGCCACTTGCTCTCCTCTCTGTCTGCAGTAGTAGTTATATAATTGCTTCCTGGAATCTTGAATCATAAAGTGGAGTGGTTGAAAGAGTTTGTCAAAATAATCTAACCCACCATGCTACATGATGAAGGACCCCACTAGTATAGCATCCCCAACAGATGGACATCAAGCTTCTGTTTCCAGCAAAGAAGCATTCATTACCTTCCAAAGCAGTCTACTCCATTCTTAAATAGCTTTTATTGCTAGGAATTTTTCCCAACCAAAATCTGGACATTAAATCTACTTCCTTGTAACCTTGTTACAGGTCCCAATAGAATGCAGATATATATTTTATTATATCTTTAATGCCCACTTTTTCTGATTGTCATATAAATCCAAAGATTTTTTTTTAAAAAAAAATTTCTTAGAGATAAAGGCTGTATTATTTTGGATTAGAGATTTGGTAATGTGTGTGTATATCAGGTTGGTAATCTTTTCTTATTGATAATATTTTTCCATTAACTGTTAGCTTTTCTAATGCATTAAGTGTGCTAACAACATATTGCCATTAATTCTGAAACACAAATTGTTGGTTGGTTGATAATATGTTATTAATAAAATATGGAAGATGTTGTTGCACACATCCTGCATGGAATGACAATATAATATATGTGATTGCTTAACTTCTTGACATATGCATTTATTTCATAATTGTTGCCTGAATTAGCACACCGTGAGCAAGAGGAATTGATACTGTACAAACAGAATGATAGATGCAGATTTATTTTGTTTAGCAAATTGAGAATCTTTTAATATCTTTTGTTTCAAGCTGCTAGAAGTGGATTCAATTGTGGATTGCAGGGAGTATGCACATGAAATACCCATGGGAGGAATTCTGGCAACTTTCTGCAAATCTGAAATGGTTAACGAAAACTAACAGCAATAACAGTGTTAGAATGCTAACACTGATTTTTAGGCACGTGTAATAATAAAATCACCATGCTTTTTGAGAGCTGTACATTCTTAGAAGGAAGCAGCCTTCTAGGTACTTGGTTCATATTTATTTTAAAGTTCTCTGTAAGCTGCACAATTTTGATAGAGGAATGACATTCTGTGATGGAAGTCTCATAAACATCCCTGGCCAGGATTGATAACACTTATTATTGGTCTTTACAAATGAACTATTTTTTTTCTGCTTGACCTTTCAGCTCTCAGAAGTTTTGTTGGAATGAAACCTAGCTTTAGTCAAATCATCAAGGCATTTTAAATCATTTTTCTCAACATCTTAAATATTTTTCAGCCTATTTGCACAACACATTCAAATTGAATTGGCTGTGGGTAAAGGGGGGAGCGTAGAATTGTTCATATACTGCTAAATCAAATGAATTGGTTGTTATGTTAACTGTGCAAGAGTTAGTTTTAATCCCAAACAGAATTAGTCTTGCTTGGAGTTACACTAGCAACCCAATTAAACCACCTCCCATCACCTTTTCCAAACTCCTAATAGCAATTAATATCCCTCATGACGTCTGCAGCTGAGTATTCTCTTGTTATTAGTCCACCCTGGGGAACCCTTTTGATTACTAGGATCTCAGGAGATGAAGTGATGAAGAAGCACCTGCAATACCAGTTGAGAAGGGTAAAGAGTGAATCTGATCAAGCAGGGTATGAGCTCATATAAGATCCTACACCATGGCAATAAGAATGGCAAAACAAGTTTACTTATCTCCTCTTACTGGGTCAGTGTGTTGACATCCAGTGCTCTTGTTCAACACTCAACATTCATTGCTCTGGAACATTGAATAGGAAGTCATCAACAGGAATCGTTATCTAGCTGTGCCAATTAGTGCAACATTTTGCTGATAAACTTGCTCAGATTTGCTAGAATCTTGACTTTCAAAGCAAAATCTGATGTGGTTCCTAGAGCAATGTCTTGTTATCAGGTCCTTCAGGGAGCCAGGAAAATGTGATGGATTGGATCCATGTAACAATCAAGGAAAGGGAGTGTTCTCACCAGCCTTGAAAGAGGTGATGGTGATCTTCTCTTCAAGAATTCATTTGTGGACCTGACAATTTTGGAAAACTATCACCGAGTCTCCAACCTTTCCTTTCCTGACATATTAGCTATAGAGTGCCTTGTGCCAATGAATATAAGAGAGAAATAAATGCAAAAACAATATCTAATATATTGCCATGTTGTAAACTTTCTGATAAAAACCAGGAATTGTGTGAGCAATTAGTCAGAGAGTACTTCAATTTTAGAAAGTTCAAAGAGCACTTAACTTGCATTGTAACTTGAACCATAGCAATCTGCCGCCAGAGAATGGCAGAGCCACAAGAGTTATCTGTAACAGCAGTATTTATGTGCCATTTCACAATCCAATCCAAATATCAAGTTTAGGATTCAAATGCACCCTAAAGAGTAAGAGCAACAGATCTAGAGTTTGAGTTGTTTAGAGCAGAGGGGAACATGTGAAGGCTGTTTGATTTATCCTGAAATGCTGGAATGGTTTGATTAGAGACATTGCCACTGTCTCCTCTCAAGGAGATAAACTGTTTGCTTTTGCTTGGCCCATCACAGCTGCCAGTATGTTCTTGGTGCTGTGCCAGAATCTGGCCTCTCATTATCTAAATTGGGTCTCACCTGCTCTGATGATCAATAGATGGCAAATACACTTGTCTTCCATAGGTCATCTGGATTTTTGCAGTCTAGATATATTATGCTATCTGCAGCTGTGATATAATACAGCTGAAAAGATTTTTAATGAATCATAAAGTGACTCTCACCTACTCACCCCAAATAAACTTGTGCATATTTGTAAATGTCTAGAGAAAACTTATGGACTTCTCCTAAGGCAGTGATGGCTAACATTTTCCGGACTGAGTGCCCAAAGCGTGCACGCCCCCACGCAAATGCGCGCACCTGAACCCCCAAAATGTAATGAGTGCATGGCCTCCAGGCATGCGCCCCGCTCCCATGCATGCACCCCACCTCCTGCACATGGCGCCCCGCATGCACCCCACCCCCACGCATGCACAGCAGAGACCCGATGACCAGCTGGCTGGTGGGAGGCGCGCGTTCATGCATGGCGGAGATGAACTGGGGTGACGACTCGCATGCCCACAGACAGGGCGCCATAGGCTTGCCATCACAGTCCTACGGCAATGGAAGTAGGAGACATCCTTACTTATACCCTGCTTATATTCTCAAATATCTTAAGAGGGACATCTGCCATTGTAGAAACAAGGTTGGCAAAGGCTATAAACAACGAGGCCCAAACAGGCTCCAACCTATGTTTTGCCTTTTGAAGTCTCTGACTTTGGATCTTATACTGTAGATTTAATGCAGAACTTTCCTGAGGGGAAACAAATCTCTAGAAAACACCAAAAAGCAAAAATCTTAGTTCCTATTGAGAATTTCTTATTGATCATTTGCCTAGTCTTTAATGGTATTTGGGAATAACATAAAACTGAGCAATTTTTATGTACATTCTAGGTCATACAGGGTGGGCAACATATATGCTTTAGAAGGCTTAATGTGCTAAGCCTTCTAAATCATATATGTTTCCCACTGTTGCCCTGTATGATCTGGAATATATTAGAATACTGGTAATGTGTGCTAGAACCACACATTATTTATTCATTATATTTATATTGTGCCTTTTTCTCTGCAAGATTAAGGCATTTTATTTGGAAGTCTAAGGTAGGTTTGGCTGAGAGAGAGTGACTTCAGTAAACTCTGTAGCAAAATGAGATTTGACACTGATTACAGATGTACAGGTAATCCTTGAGGTACAGTAGGCCATTCAACGAACGTTCGAAGTTACAACGAACGTTGTAACATTGGGGCACATCCCAAATGCTAAATATGAGTCCATTTCAAAGTTACAAATTTTGCAGTCCCCCCCCCATGGTAATTCACCCTTACAACCATCCCATGTCACCATTCACGTACTTACTTTTTCACGAACTCCTCTCAGGCTAGAGAGGAAAAGTTTGCAACAGAAACAAAAGTTACTGGATTTCTTTTTGATTGTATCACGTGACCCAGTGAGGGCGCAGCTGTCTCTAGCTTGACTTCGTCAGCTCGTCAAAATGTAAGTAAGTGAATGGTGATGGGGTGGGTATGGAGGAGCCCATAGGGCTTTGGGAAAACCAAAGACCAGGAGGCAGAGCATGGGGTATCTTAGAGGGTGGGGGAAGCCTCCTGGGAGTGCCTGTGCCTGTGTCTGCGCTAGGCCTCCCTTGGTTTCTCCCATCCCTGAATCACCCCATGCTCTACCTAACGACGTGCACATTCGTTTAATGAATGCATTGGGGAAAGCAAGGACAGGGAGTTCGTTAGGTGCTTCATTTAATGTAGTCCTCGACTTCTGACATGAATGGCCAGGCTCCATTAATGTTGTAAATCGAGGACTACCTGTATATGTTGTTCATCCAGACCTACACATAAATGAACCATAAGGCTGCTGGAAGGTGGGAAATAACTGTCCCTGTTCTCTCAGCAGTTCTGCTGCTAGCGACAATGGAAAATCAGTGATCTGCAGCAGGATCATGGCGTGGTTCCTGGTTCCCTGCTGCAGTTAGTAATAGGAAAACAGCCATCTGTTATGTCCTATTCAGCTGGGTGGTGGGGGAAAGTGTACATGGGCTGCAGTGTAGCAAACTTATTTAGAGCTTTAGGAGTCAAATGCTTTATACCTAGATATTCACTCTATCTAGTTCATTAAATTGTTATGACCATCTATCAACCAGTGCTCTCATGGGTCGTGTAAAAGTCAAAATAAACAAATCATTAAGTGAAGAGCTAATCAAATATCTGAAGAAAATATTGTACTTCATGCAGTTATTAACAGGCAGGAATCCCATGAGTTTGAAGAAACACTTCTAGTTTATTGGAATAGCAACTTTTTTTGGTTTAAAACTATGCAACCAACAACAAAACTTTATTTCAGTCATAGACCAATATAAAATTATATCTTTTTCAATAACCGTACTGAAATTTATTAAAAGTAACTAAAATCTAGAGTTACTAATGCAATACTATAAACTTAATATACTAAGATCTCTCTATAAAAATTCTTAATAGCAATATTGAGACTGGACTAAATGGGGGAGGAGGACTCAGAAGGCTATAAAAAGGATAAAAAACCAGAGAAAGATAAATAAAAATAAAAGAATTTTAATAAGTTTACCTAAGTCTAATTGATAATTACTGGATTACTTACTACTTTTAATTGTATAATTGTGGATTTTAATTGCTGCCAGACAAAATCTATGTACATTGCAAATAATAAGTGGTACTTTATCGGGGGTGGGTGCGGGGAATCAAGAAGAAAACTTTCAGTATGATATATGCAGGATATGTATGTATAATTCAGTATGATATGGGTCAATAAAGGAAGAATGAAAGTTTCTCAACTACTTTGTTAATGGTACAGAGTAAAAGAACATGTGTGATGGTCTTAATAGCATTTATGCTGCATAGGGAATTTGGTAAATCTCCCATTTGGTAAATCTCCCATTAAGTAGAGGGTAAAACATTAAGCTTGGCTTTCGACTGTACAAGGAAAGCTAAATAAATTAAGTATCTGCCTGGAAAATAGTTGTAAGTTATTCCATGTATAACTGATATTATCAATGGTATGATTCTATCAATAAATGTAGCCAAATTTTGTTATACTGCTTGCAAAAGTAGACATATACTGACAACATCAACGAAATAATCACAAACTATTTTACTTTGTTTCATCTGCTGCTGATTGTTGTATTCTACCTAATCAATACTGCAATGAAAATATGGATGGATGGGTATTAGGTATATCAGCAGTAGGATCATTTTGACTTTTAATAGATGTGACTTCTACTAAATCTCAACATTACCTTAAAGTATATTTCAAAGTAGCTTCTGCCATGCGCATGTATTGATTTGGATTAACTACAAAATTTGTGAATGATTTCCCACAATTATGGTCGACCTCATCCTGGAATTCTTTGTCTAAGACCCTTTCTCTCATCATTCTTTTAGCTTGAGTGTATCCCAAAGAAAGCACTTGTTTAAGCAACAAGCTACAACAGGTAGATTTCCCAAGGATTGCTTGTTGCCAAGATAATGGAAATTGGTCCCTCTGAAAAAAAATGGGATGGGAAAAAATGGCATTTGAGTCAATACTGTGAGCATTAACAGCCTTGCTCTCACTTCCATTTTTTTCATTATTCTGCTTCCCTTCTAAGCATCATATTACACATATAAACAATTGAAAAAGAGTATGCAAAATTTGTATAGCCAAAATGATTTATAGTGAGGGAATGGTCACAACTGGGCACCATGGACCACAGATATTTGTCCTCCCTTGTGCTTGTGAATCACCATGGTCAAGGTATATTTTCTGTAGATTGGAGTACTATCTCCAAGAACAGTACTTGACACTTTTGATCTGCACAATTTCCTTCTCTTCAATGATCCATTTAAATCTTTTGGGTTTCTTGTCAAAAACCACCACTTTGTTTTTCTAGTCATTTATTACCAGTAAATCCTCTCAGAAAAAATGGGTTTAAAAAAGTGTCCATCTAAGTTCTAGTGGAATTTGTAAAAGGATAACTACATCATCAGCATGTAAAATCAGTGGAATATCCACCCCAACAATCTTGGGAGGCTGGAAGTTTGGTAGAAATCAGCATTGTGGTTATTTTTAATTTAATTGACAAAGCCAGAACAAATGCTGTTTGTAGTGGTAATTGAATTTGGCAAGATCAGGATAGACAGTAATAATTTTGCTCTTTTCACAACGGTCATATTGGGACTGATATGATATCAAGAATTATAGCTAACCTTACAGTTTTGGAATATTCAAAGCACAATTTTAAATCAGTACTAAAATAATATTGAGCTTTTTTCCCAAGGAAGAATCAATGGATTAAACATCCCATTGGTTTCTTATAGCGAATTAGATACTTTTCAAAACTATCTACTATTTTATTCTATGAATATAATTTTCATCACAATTTACATTACAGCTATTACGCACTGATCATAATTATTCTCTCAAGTATTTCCATACATACAATATAAATCTAAAATAAAACCTGTATCAACAGTTCTAACTTGTCTATACTCAAAATACTTGGTTTTCAAACCTTTTAGAATAATCCATAGTAGTAATTATTCAGATATAACTATAGATACATTGGGTACAAATTTTGCAGAGGGAATTTATTTAAAAGAATTTGCTAGGGGTTTAAATTTATATTTTTAATTTTAAATTTTCTTAACTTTTTTTTTATCCTCAGTTTGGGAGATTAAGGAATTTACTGATTTTATGATGGAAAGTAGACAAGATATAATTGAATTTGATGGTGCTGAACAATCAAGGAATATGCATTTGTATATAAACCCCTTAATTCATTTAGAATTAATTATTGTAACTACATTGAGAAAGAAGTAAGATATACTAAGTTGGATCTGTCAGAATCACAACTTTATTAACTTACAACAAATGGATCTACAATATATATATTTGTATCCACATCGTTGTGTTAGCCAATTATTATTATCAGCATAAATCAACTCTAGAATGAATGAGTCTTCCTTGAGGTTTATAGCCCATAATATACTACGCAGATTCAGTGTCAGAAGGTAGATCGATGTCCATCAACATCTTGGGCTGAGAGGGAGTAACTCACTCAAAGTTTTGCTATCTCTGTTCCTATGATTTTTTTTCAAAAAGACACTATATAAATTTAATAAATTAAAAAATATCAAGGTTGAAAATATCTCCAATGAAAGAAATGCTTCCACAAATGTTATTTTTGCCAGTCTCTCTAAAATATGTAGATGCAGAGAAATACCGGGTGTGTTCATGGATACATGTTCAGCTCACACGGGAAAGTAATAATTCCTATAGGGTTTGGCTTTGGCCACTCTAAGCTGGAGAATGCTTTGAATGTGTTTCAGGAATGGCATGCCATCTTTTAGTTGCAACTCATGCTTGTCAGCATAGATATATAGGAGGCACTTGCTAAAGTTTTTGCACTAAAGATAGCAATGGTTTTCTAAGATAAAAAATTGAAAATGACTGTTCTAATGGAATACCTTACAGTAGATAGTTACATTTAAAGCACATGATGTTTTCCAAATGGAACAAGCTGTGCTTTTGTTCTCTTTTAAACTCAAAGTTTTGAAATTTTACTAACTTTCAACAAAGAATTGCCTTTGTTTGGGCAATATTTTGACTTGCCATCTAGCATTAAATTCTAGAAAGGAAGCAAATATTAATGCTTACATAAAACTTGAAAATTAAATATGTGCATACTATTTCTCTGGGCCATATTCTGAAGGACTTTATTTTATTTATTTATTTATTTTATTATTCATATTTTTATGCCGCCCACTCTCTGAGGACTCTGGGCGGTTTACACCAAAGACAGTATACTAAATAGCATATTGCCCCCAACAATCTGGGTCCTCATTTTACCCACCTCGGAAGGATGGAAGGCTGAGTCAACCTTGAGCCGGTGAGATTTGATCCGCTGATCTGCTGAACTAGCAGTCACCTGAAGTAGCTGCATTACTGCACTCTAACTATTGCGCCACCTCGGCTCCCTGACTTCTGATGGACTTCGATGATAACTAACTTGCCTAAAGAGTAAACTGATCAGATCCATGAGAAACAAGGTATCTTTATGTTGGCATTCCACAGTATTTAAGGGAAAATCTTCAATATTTAATGCTTTTAATAAATTTAACTGTGAGTCACGTTAAAGTTTGCAACTATATATTGCAATGAGAGCAGCAGGCTAGAATCCAGGAGACTGTGAATTATAATCCCATTTTAGACACACAGCTGGGTAACCTTGAGGGAGTCACTCTTTCTCAGCCCTAGAAAGCAGGCAATGGCAAACTACTTCTGAAAAACCTTGTCAAGAAAACCATAGGGACCAGTCCAGGAGTCAAAAACTGATTCAAAGGCACATATAGATGCACACATATCACTCATAAAACACACAGACACAGATACAAATATACACACCATATACAGTCAGGTCCAGAAATATTGGGACATCAACACAATTCTAACATCTTTGGCTCTATACACCACCACAGTGGAGTTGGAATGAAACAAACACAATGTGCATTAACTGCAGACTGTCAGCTTTAATTTGAGGGTATGTACATCCAACTCAGGTGAACGGTGTAGGACTTACAGCAGTTTGTATATGTGCCTCCCACTTGTTAAGGGACCAAAAGTAATGGGACAATTGGCTTCTCAGCTGTTCCATGGCCAGGTGTGTGATATTCCCTCATTACACCAATTACAATGTGCAGATAAAAGGCCCAGAGTTCATTTCAAGTGTGCTATTTGCATTTGGAATCTGTTGCTGTCAGCTCTCAAGATGAGATCCAAAGAGCTGTCACTATCAGTGAAGCAAGCCATCATTAGGCTGAAGAAACAAAACAAACCCATCAGAGAGATAGCAAGAACATTAGGCATGGCCAAAACAACTGTTTGAAACATTCTCAAAAAGAAGGAATGCACCGGTGAGCTCAGCAACACCAAAAGACCTGGGAGACCATGGAAAACAAGTGTGTTGGATGACCGAAGAATTCTTTCCCTGGTGAAGAAAACACCCTTCACAACAGTTGGCCAGATCAAGAACACTCTCCAGGAGGTAGGTGTATGTGTGTCAAAGTCATTGGTCAAATGTGGACTGAGCCTGTCAATTAATTATTAAATCCCGCCCCTATTCCTAGGGATTCCAGCTTTGGTGAAGGAGGAAGACAGACTCTGAGTGTGGAAAGTAGAAAAAAATAAACAAACTGTTAGATAAATTTTACTCTTAGTACCCAGACTGATACTGGGTGGGACTGGCTGCTGTCTCCACTCAACGAGAAGGCGCGTATCAGGCATTGCCAACGTCCCCTTCTCCCTTGAGAGTGGAGACAGCAGCCAGATGTGGGACATACCCAAGTTCACTGTCCCAACTCATGGGAGGGAACAGTCTGGGCCGAAAAACTCCTCCCTGACCTCAACACCTTGTAATACTCTTCTCCCAAAATCAGCCTCTGCAGTGGCAAATTTATCTAATTTATAGTGTTTAACAAATGGAGAAGGAGAGGTCCAAGTAGCTGCTCTGCATATTTCAGACAATGAAGCCTTAGAAGCCTAAGCAGCTGTAGTTGCAGCACTTCTGGTGGAATGAGCTGTCACCTTGGTAGGAGGAGGCAAAGATCGCAGTTCGTATGCCATCTTAATCATTGTTCGGATCCATCGACCTAACGTCGAAGAAGATACCTTATTTCCTAATGAAGCCGGAAGATAGGAAATGAACATTGACTCTGTCCTACGAATATCAGCCGTCCTCTGGATGTATAACTTCAGTGCCCGTCTGACATCCAACATGTGTAATCTGTTTTCCAATGGATTGGAAGGTGAGGAATAAAAATCTGGTAAAACAATTTCTGCAAACGATGAAAAGAAGATTTAATTTTAGGTATAAAAGTAGGATCCAATCTGAGGACCACTCTATCTACATGGAATACACATAAATCATCTCGGACCGACAATGCTGCAAGTTCTGAAATACGTCGCGCCGAAGTAATCGCGACTAGAAAAACAATTTCTTCTGACAATAGACATAAACTGGTAGAGTCTATTGGTTCATATGGCGAACCCATAAGTGAATCCAACACAATTGAAAGTTCCCAAGAAGGGTATCGATGTATTACTGGTGGACAAAGGTTAGCTGCTCCTCTGAGAAAACGACGAATCATGGGATCTTGTGACAATGAATTATTGGAATTATATGTCAGGATAGATGAGATAGCAGCCACCTGTCTCTTGAGAGTGTTGGGAGAAAGTCCTTTTTCTAAACCAGCCTGTAAAAACATCAGTACCTGCAAAACAGAAGCTTGAAGAGCAGAAAAACCTTGGGTCTCACACCAAGATGTAAATGTGTGCCAAGTTGCTGAATAAATTCGTTGTGTTGATGACCGCCTAGATGCCTGCATGGTTCTAATTATTGGAGATGGAATGTGATTTCGCTGGAGAGCATCCCGTTCAACCACCATGTGGTCATTTGTAGCCATTGTGGTTCCAGATGTGTGATTACACCCTGGCTGAGGCAATTCGTGATACATGGTATCCTCCAAGGAGGAGTCACTGATAAATTCATGAGGTCTGCAAACCATGACCTTCTTGGCCAATGTGGCGCTATTAGAATGATTTCCGCCCTTTCCAGTATTAGTTTCTGAATTACCCTCGGAATTAGAGGAATTGGTGGAAAGGCGTACAACAGACCTTGTGGCCAAGGGGAGCGTAGAGCATCCACAGCTTCTGCAACGTTGAACGTTCTATCTTTTATGACCCTGGCCACAAGAGATCTCAACCCGGGTTACGATCCGGGTAGAGGAAAAACTTACCTTCAACTAAATCAAATATAGTTCCCAAATGAAGAATTCTAGTCGACAGTTTCAGATGGCTTTCTCTATGTTAACAGAGAAGCTGTGTGAGGCCAGTGTCTGAATGGTAAATTGGAGATCTGAAATGTCCTGCTGAGGAGTTAAACAGAAGAGACTTAAACAGAGCCTGGGGAAATAGGCTCGTGAATGCAGGTTGATCCGGAGGTAAGCCCTCAACCTCCGACAACTCTGGTTCCTGAGGCTCCATCTCTTCCGATACAGAGTGTCTACTGACATAGGAGACGGATGGAGAATCTGAGCCCGCAAGCAAGAGGGCATCTTCCAAATCGACTCTGTCCAGCGAAGCCGAATAGTCCGAATGGACCAAATACACTGTAATCGGTCTGGCAGTCGAGAAAGTATGAGTCGACAGGGATCGTTGCCCCATTGCTGCAATCATACATTGAATGTCCTCTGGACGTAAAGGGGTAGAATCATGGTCTCAGGCTGGGCCGGCCTCTGTAGAGGCTTGAACCAGAGCAGAAGATACAGGTGAATGAACCACCAACCCAGCTGGAGTGCTATACTCCACAGCAGGGCCGGATTTTCCTATAGGCTAACTAGGCTTCAGCCTAGGGCCTCAAGATCAAGAGGGGCCTACATTCAAATTGTTAGCAAAATTAAAATTACACTTTCATTATAGGTGAAAGGGCCTCATAAATGGAATAGCCTAGGGCCTCTTTTCATCTAAATCCAGCCCTGCTCCACAGCATTGATACCCCACAGGCGGGGGAGATCCCAATAAGTCAGCTGACTCAACTGACACCAGGAAGTCTTGCAGCAACATCTGATCTGGGGTCGGAGAGAGGTCACGTCTACGTTCCCCTGGAGAAACCCTGGCTGTTGTAGATGATGTAGGACCACTGTCCTTGGCCTTGACTACAGGCTTCCATAGAAGCTTTCCCTTGCATCTAGCAGAAAACTTAGCCTGAGGTTTAATGGATACTCCATCCCCTTGCACATGCTTGGCATCTTATGCTTGGAAGCAACTGACTGTTCCCTTACTGTGGCCTGGTGGCCATGTTTTGACTTGTCCAGAGCCTTAGGCATGATAGGCCATATAACACCCAAGAAGTGGAAAATAGACTCCATGTTAAGCAAGGCAGTCCTGTATCAGGGGAATGTCAAATTCTAGATGCATTCTGAGATAAATATGCGAGGCAGCAACAGAGAAAAGAGAAGGCAATTAACCCCAAGCCTGTAAGGTGAAGCAATGTCTGCCAAAAGGGCTGAAGGCAAGGTTAGGCCAGGGTAGCAGGCACAGCCAGAAAGACTGGAGGCCTGAGAGAAGCTCAACGTGTCGCCTTGCCCCTAAACATAATGGCGGCCTGAACTGCCAACTCAGGGATCACAAAGCTCCGTTACTGATGAGAACAGCAATGTCAAACAGCTGAGATGCGGACCAGTAAGAGAAGTCAAAGAGTCGAGCAGGTATAAATTAGGGTGATTTTACATATCACCAAGCCCTTGTGATGTGACCACAAGTGGCAAACCACAGGGAGCGCGAAAACTCCACTTTGAAGCCGGTGGCAAGGTCAATCAGCTGAGAAGTGGTTAATAGTGACAGCGGGCAGAGCTTTGTTCATTTCTGCAGGAGAGAATCAGAACCTGGAGGAAAAGAACCGACAAGCGGTGATAGTCAGGGAGCGCAAAGACTCCACTCAGAACCCGGCAGCTAGTCTCAAACAGCTGAGAAGCGGCTCTATTGAGTCTGCTGGAGAAAAGCTGTGCCTGAGTGAAAGGCTGACAAGAGCAAGAGACAGGGAGTGCGAAAAACTCCACTAACAGTTATGCGGCTGGCAGTGACAAAAATGGCTGCCCAAAGACCGTGGGGAGTGCAAGACTCCGCAAAGAGAAGTCGCTGTTTAAAATGCAGGGCTCCACTGGCAAAGCCGGTGATTTTTAGCCACCCATGGGAGCGGAAAGCTCCACCAACATACAGAAACTTACCAGTTCGATTAAAGGATGTCCAGCAAACAAAAGAATAGCCAAGTACGACATCCAAGGTCAAATCCAAACAATCAGGTATGAAAGAAAACAGTCTAACTCTGAAAACTGTCAGAGCTAGCTATCCACAAACTGTGCCACCGTAAGAGTGGGAGTGCTAGACTCCACATTATTGTTACTTCGAACAGGAGGAGGAGATCCCCATAAATCAGATGGCTCAACTAATAGTGGGAAATCTTGTATTGACATGTGATCCTGGGTCAGAGAGGAGGCATGTCTACATTCTCCTGGAGACCCAACCGTTATAGCCAATGGGGCAGAGCCAGTGCCTTTGTCTTTGCCAATAGTTTTTCTTAGTAGCTTCTCCTTGCGCTTAGGAAGAGCCTCAGAACAAGGCTTAATTGCTACTCCTTCCCCTTGTGTATGCTTGGAAGCTTCCATTTTAGAATCCACTGACTGCTCTCGCACTGTGGCACTAATTTTGACTTGGCCAGAGCCTTAGGCATGACTGGCCTTAATTAATCAATCGGGTTGAAAGGACCCCCTAAAATTTTATCAGCCTTGTAATAGGTCAACGTAAATTTAAAAGTAGTTTAAATTAATATAAACATGTTATAGATGTAAATTATATCTCCAACACCATTTCCAGTAGCCAGATGTGGCAGTCTTAGTTTATAAGGACAGAATATGCTTATAGCCAGTACAGAACTAAGGATTGGAGGCTTGATAGAAAAAAACTGTGTCCTTGCCCTTAAACAAAATGGCGGCCAAGCAGTCACCTAAGAACTCGAGCTGGCGTAACTGTCAAAAACTGAAGCACTGTTCAGTCTCAAATGAAGGCAGATCTGTCTTAAACAGTCTAATTTGGCCAAATAATCAAAGCACTGATAAACGGAGATAGCCAGAGAAAGTCAAGCCTCGTAGTCGAAAATGTTAATTAGCCTCAATCAGCTGTGAGGCAGTTTAAAATAGCAGGGAAAAACTCTGCGCTTTCTTAAAACTGCCGACAAGCGGCAAGAATCAGGGAGCGAGATAACTCCTCAAATGCAAAAGTTTATGGCTATAGTGAAATAGCATCATCCATATTAATCATATGTTGAATGTCCTCTGTGCGCCAATTGATTTGCGCTTGATCTCGAGCCTTGTCCACTTCATTAGAAGTTTGGATAGGAACAGAGGATGTAGGTGCATTAAGCACTGAGAATGTGGGAGCGCTAGACTCCTCAGTAGTGGTTGTACCCATAACGGGATTAGAACCCCAAACTTCAGATGATTGAACTAAGAAACCTTAGAGTCAGTATAATTATTTCTTTTACGTGACTTTTTAACAGTCTTGTCCTGGCTGATGACAGCACTGGGAGTCACCAAAGAATGTTTTGCGGTTGTGCGCATAGGAAGTACACATTCCTTTTGTTTCTGATTATGATCCTCCCTAAATGAAGCCTGTGATTGCTCTCTTACTGTGGCCTTTCGGCCATGTTTGGATTTTGAGATAGCTTTAGGCATAATAATAGATTGGGAATCAGACCAAATCTATAATCAGTAAGATGTAAGTTATTTAAAATATTTATTATTTTTCAATAGTTTGAAAGGATAGATAAAGGCTAATATGTTTAATGTTCTCAGGTAAATGTAAAATTCTAGCTGCGCCAGTAATCAAAATGGCGTCTCAGCACTCAACTGGCACAGCCTGATAGGCTGGAGGCTCTCAGGAATGGAACTTGAGTTATTGCCGGTATTCAAATGGCAACCGGCTCAACTGTCAATGTGAGCGCGAGGCTCAACTGTAAGGCAGAGATAAAATTCCAACAGTTAAAAGCCATTAAGGTAACTATAAGTACCTATGTAGAATAATTATTAAATGAGGCTTTAATTGCTCTTGGGAGCATAAATTGATATTGGGAGCGTGATTCTCCTCTTTCGGCTAGATTTGAAGCCGCAACTCAGCTCTAAGCAGCTGAAATCAATTTATGTTAGAAAAGGTTTTTAGATGATCTTGGGAGCGTGAGACTCCTCTTTTCGGCTAAATTTTTAGCCGCATTTCAGCGCTAAACAGCTGAAATCAGTTAAAGTCAGCAGCAGCAAAGGGAGGCTGTTTTTAAAAGCGTCAAAGCCGACTTTGATGTAAAGTTTGTAGCAACAATCTGTAAAGCTGTGACTTTATTCAGTGGCCGACAAGCGGTTAGCATGAGGGAGTGCGAAACTCCACTTTAATGATCAGCTTAAATTAGCTGTGACAAGGTGAGCGCAAGACTCAACAATTGTTTTTTTTTTTTTTTACATTTAAAATAGCTTCTGCTGATAAAGGCAAAATTAAACCCCCCGCCCCCTTAAGGGAGCGGAATGCTCCAAGGAAATGATTAACTGACCAGTTTCAATGATGTTTTCTGATGCTGAAAGTAGAAAACGTCCTCAGATGTCCTAAGAATCTTCTGAAGTATAGGTGAATTAAATTAAAATGTTCAGCAGATAAAAGAACTGAAGAAATTAAGCAGAAATAACACTCTAACGCTGAAAAGCAGATAGAGCACACTTTCCACACAACTGTCCAGTCTGACGACTGAGCAAAAAAGCTGGGATCCCTAGGAATAGGGGCGGGATTTAATAATTAATTGACAGGCTCAGTCCACATTTGACCAATGAGCATAACCCACATCTGGCTGCTGTCTCCACTCTCAAGGGAGAAAGGACATTTGTCAAATTACATAGACAAAGAGAAGCCCCAATTGATTTTTCTCTCTCCACCCAAATAAAATCCTATTTAGGGATCCCTATCCTAAAGGGTAGAGATCCCTATCCTAAAGGGCTAGAAACCGGGAGACTGTGACTTTTAGTTCCACCTTAGGCATGAGGATTGGCTGGGTGGCTTTGGGCCAGTCTCTCTCTGTCTCAGCCCAACCTACCTCACAGGGTTGTTGTAGGGAAAATAGGAGGAAGGTATAATAAATATGTTCGCCACTTGAGTTATTGATAAAAATAATTCAGGTGGAATATAAATAAATAAAATTATATGGGCTTGAATTAAAATTCCTGAATCATATGTCTTAAAATATGCACAGTGGAATGAAGAGACACATGTGTTTACCACACTTTGTAATTAGGATAACCTACACAGAAATCATGTATATTGGTTTAATCTCACTTTTCCAGGGAGATAAATTGGCTATGTCTTATGTATTGTAAGGTACTGTAACTTTTATAGTATCAGGTGTTTATATATTTTAAAAATATATTCATGGCTATATATTTTCTTCAAAGTAAATTTTAAGGTGAGGAAGTTTTCTGCACATTCTTCTTTCAATTCTTAAAAGCCTGTTTTAGGGACTTTTGTTTACTAATAGCTAGAAATATTCCAATAATAGCTTAGCATTTGCTGCAGTTTCCATTGGGTCACAATGAGTAAACTCTGTCATTGGTTTTTCCTGAGAAAGACAAATGCCAGCTGTCATATTGCTTTAGCATTGGGTTACATTTAAATGTAGCACTTCAATTTATTTTTAGAGGCTGAGTGTGTAGATTACTCTTGGTGTATATTTTGTCTGCTTCTACACTCTATTTTAAAACTTAAGTATAGTTGCTGTCATGTGTAAAATGTATTTATCTATTTTGTAAGAGTTCAAGGTATAAAGAGTGTATCTGAAGAGTATGCAACTTTCCATATTGCCAGAGTTATACTGTACATGTTTGTTTGATTCAAATATATGGTTACATTTATAAAAGTTAAGAGAATCAGATTAGTTTCAAGCCTGTGTAACATTTATCCTGAATAATAATTATGTACAGTTTGTATCCCTTAAGATAAACTTGATAATTTTTCAGTGCCTTTAACAGGACATTGATTTGAGTCTACATAAGTGACTGACAAGTTCTCTGGTAAACTGGTTGAATGTAAGAATTGCACAAGCTTATGAACAAAACTATTATCATTTACTGCTTTAGCTTTTCAAACAGAAATCACTCCTTCTTTCTTCTGACTAATATTGAGGAAAATTGTTTAGTTTGCATTTGAATGCAAATTAATTGAATGCAAGGCGAGAAGCAACTTAGAACTAAGGAAAAAATTCCTAACAGTGAGAGCAATCAACCAATAGAAAAGCTTGCCTTCAGAAGTTGTGGGTGCTCCATTACCAGAGGCTTTTAAAAAGTGATTGGACAACTATTTATCTGAAATGGTATAGAGTATTCTGCTCGAGCAGGGGGTTGGACGAGAAGACCTCCAAGGACCCTTTCAACTCTATTTTTTTAATGCTATTCTATTCTATTCTATTCTATTCTATTCTATTCTATTCTATTCTATTCTATTCTATTCTATTCATGTAAAATTTCTTAGCCACCTATCTTACCCCACGGTAACTCTGGGTGACTTACAATATTAAAAAACAATATCTTTTATGCTGAGAGTTTAAAAAATTCTCAGGTGCAGTAAGCCAAATTTGACAAAATTCACAAAATTTTTCAGAAACTAAAATTTTAGAAAAACAATAATATTGCAAATATGAGGATCTGAAATAAGCAGCTATTAATATATTCAACAATATTTAATTCTGACATTAAAAATTAACAACAGTGTTTAATTTTGTATAGACAAAGTTACCATAAGGTAAGTTAATCAATAATATTAATATTAATATTATTATTATTATTATTAATTAATAATAATAATAATAATAATAATAATAATAATAATAATAATAATAATAATAATAATTTCTATACCGCCCCTCTCCCGAAGGACTCGGGGCGGTGTACAGCCTATTAAAACAAAAAATATACAAATATCAAAATTTAAAATTATTAAAAAATTACACAATTTCGGCCCAGATTAAAACCCCCAATTTAAAACTCCCAATTTAAAATAATTACATAGTTAGCCCTGCCTGGTGAAACAGTAGGGTCTTAAGGGCACAGCGAAACACACAGAGGTTGGAGATCTTGCGTATTTCTGGGGGCAGTTCGTTCCAAAGGGCAAGAGCTCCCACAGAGAAGGCTCTCGCCTTGGGTGTCGCCAGCTGACATTGCTTGGCCGACGGCACCCTGAGGAGTCTCTCTCTGTGTGAGCGGATTGGCAGGTGGGAGGCTATTGGTGGCAGAAGTCGGTCTCGCAAGTACCCGGGTCCTAAGCCATGGAGCGTTTTAAAGGTGGTAACCAATACCTTGAATCGCACCCGGAAGACCACTGGGAGCCAGTGCAGCTCGTGCAGGACAGGTGTCACATAGGCACAATGAGTCGCGCCCATAACCACCCGCGCGGCCGCATTCTGGACCAGTTGGAGCCTCTGAGTGCTCTTCAAGGGGAGCCCCATGTAGAGAGCATTACAGTAGTCCAGAATACTGGCAAAATTATTATCCTGATCCAAGTGATGGATTCCATTTGTTTTCATGACAAAGAACCTGCTTGAGCTTCTTGTAGATATGATTAGTATGTATCCATCCATTTTTTGCAGTATACCTCTTCACACTCTCTAGGATCCAATAAAGTCAAATGCCAGGATGTGTATATGGCCGTATTTTTATTTTGGCAAACTTAAATGCTTCTTTCCTTTAGATTTCCAGCAGAATGCATGGAGGACAAGGAGAAAAGGTATGAAGGCCATACATGGCCTTTCCCCTATCCCCTGGAGCAGCAGTCCCCAACCTTTCCAGCTTGGCGGCCCAGCCCGGCACAGAGGGAGAATGTGTGTATGGCAGGGCATGGGTGCACGCACAACTCCATTTGTGTGAGTGGTGGGCCCGCATGCCCTCCACTTGCACAAATGGAGCTTCACGCAGGAGCGAAAGGTGCTTGTGTGTGAAGCTCCACTTGCGTGAGTCACAAGCACTTGCACTCTCATGTGAAACTCCGCATACACGAAGCTCAACTCGCATGAGCGCAAGTGCTCTCCACTCAATGGCTTCCATTTGTGTGGAGCTTTGCATGCAAGCACAAGCACCCTCTGCTCAAGTATCTGCCAGACTTGCCCAACTCTCCTGCAGCCCAATTTCAAACTGGCTGCAGCCTGGTAGTGGTCTGTGGTCTGTGGGTTGGGGATCCCTGTCTTGGAGCTTCCAGCATATTCAGCTCAGCTCAGCTCCTGAGCATAGCTAGTGATGTACGAGATGTTTCAAATTTTGCAGAAAGAGTTCAGGGCTGACATGAGATGTTTTGCCCTTACCAGAAGTGTGCCAGTGCTGTCCTGACCATACCAAAAGTGTTCCAACCTGGAAGCAGCATTCTGTTATTGCTGTTGTTATTAGCAGAATTTATAAGGCCACCTAACACAAACATAATACTTGGTGATGTGCAATGCACCAAAATAAAAGTAAAACTAACAATGGTAATAGTAGTTAATTTATTAATCAATTATTTGACCATATGAAGAAACTACAATCAATACTAAAAAAGAGGTTCAGCCTATTTCGTGTTATCCCATCACCCCTGCAAACAACCTCAGCTCAAGTTGACCCATTCTGTTCTTAATGTTTTTGATACAGAAGATAGTCATCTTAGTGAGGCTGTTCCCTGCAAATTGTGAATGTCCCAAATATGCCTTTGATTTTAAGAAGGTATCTAGATGATCAATTTGTGTTACAAAGTATCATTTATAATCAGGATATCTGCATGTTAGCAGCAACTCAAGCACCTTGTATGCATTTTCTGCCAAAAAAAATATCTTCATGTAACATCTGTTACTTTACCACATAACTGAGATCTTCAAACAGTGCTCTTCTTAAAACAAACAAACAACATACTTTTAAGGTGCTGGGGTATGTAAATTGTTAAATATACAATTTTCTATCTGGAAAATTGATTTATGTTATGTCAGCTTCTTCAAGCACTTATCCCATTTAAGAGATTCTATGTTGCCTTGAGCAGCAACATCCAAGACACTTTGTTTGAAACTTTTAACCCTTCAGGCCTGTTTGAATGGAGAACTGAACAGAAACTCTATATTGTGAAATGCTATTTGTAAAGTATGAGGGGACTTGTTCCATAATGAATAAATACAATTAAATCCATGTCCAAATAGTAGCAGAACAGATCAGGTAAGGATGGAAGAGCTGTTTTGAATTTGAAATGGGATGTTTTAAATGTGAAAAACATCAAATTAAAAATATTTTGCATACCATTCATTTAAAATGAAATTATTTTTCTGCCTTTCTATACCAGGGGTCCCCAACCCCTGGTCTGAGGACTGGTACCAGGCCATGGCCGATTGGGAACCGGGCTGCGCAAGTGGCAGGCGAATGCACGAAGCTCCATTTGCACATGCTAACAAGTAGTTTGCGTGTGTGAAACCATGTCCTCCCCCCGCTGCCTGCTACCACTGCTGCTGCCGATCTACGAAGCCGGAACGATTGGGGACTGCTATTCTACATCATTGGAACACCAGTGGAATAAAAATATTTGGAATTCAGGGGGATGATTTTGAATTTAAAAAAAACTCAGAGAAGAGCAGCAAAGATGATAAGGGATCTAAATCTAAATAGCAATAGTACTTAGACTTATATACCACTTCACAGTGCTTTACAACCCTCTCTAAGTAATTTACAGAGTCAGCTTATTGCCCACAACAATCTGGGACCTCATTTTACCGACCTCGGAAGGATGGAAGGCTGAGTCAACCTTGAGCCTGGTGAGATTCAAAATGCCAAATTGCAGACAGCCAGCAGTCAGCAGAAGTAGCCTGCAATACTGCATTCTAACCACCGTGCCACCACAGCTTAAATCATACAATCTAAATCTAAATCTAAATCATACTATGAATAGCTAAGGGAACTTGGTATGTTTCGTCTAACAAAAAGAAGGCTTGGGGTGACATGAAAGCGTCTTCTAATACTTGAAGGGTTGTTACAGGGAAGAGGGGGATGATTTATTTTCCAAAGCACCTGAGTGCAAGACAAGAAGCAGTGGGTGGAAGCTCATCAAAGGGAGAACCAACCTGGAACTCAGGAGGAATTTCCTGACAATGAGTACAATTAATCAATGGAAGCGCTTGTGTCCCGGAGTTTTGTGTGCTCCATCACTGGAGGTTTTCGAGAAAAGATTGAGCAGTCATTTATCTGGGATGTTATAAAGACCCCCTTCTTGACAGGGGATAGACAAAAAAATCTCCAGCCCCTTGATTCTATAACACAGGTTCATTGTAATTTAGTATAATTTGACATGCACTTAAAATCTGTCATCAGGTATATTGTTGATTTATTTTGTGTAATTATTTAGTTTAATAGAAAAAAATAATAGTATTCTGAGTTTTCCTTAAAACACTGCTCAAACTACAGAAAGTGCTTTAAATGGTTTCTAAAGTTGAAAGTAAAGAAAGACAGAGAATCACAATGTCCAAGCAGTATTTCAAATATCTCAGCAGCAAGCCATCAGGCTTTAAACCAGCATTTTGAACTCATCACAGAAATGTTTGAGTGCTGTTGGCAAAGCACAGACATAATTTATGTTTAATATTCATGTTAAATAATGTATTTGGAGCTCTGTTTCAAGGCACCTAAATGTATCATCATATTAATCATGGATTATTACAGGTAATGTACTGCCAACTGGATCAATATTTATTGGACTAAGTTCAATGTAATAGCCATCATTCATGAAGTTGTTGAGAATAGGATGGTACATGATCATCATCATCATTATCATCAAATGTAGAAAACATTGCTATTGAAGCAAAAGGTGGTATTAATTGATGTCATGCTAATTAAGGACAGTTTTGTTTTCTCCATGCCCCAAATCAATGTCGTATTCTCCAATTAATTATTAATTAATGCTCAATGCTGAAGCAGGATGCTCAATGGGAGGATTTCTGATTTTTTCCATTGTGAAGAATACCAAACAAATTTAGAACAATGTGACACAGTCCAAATATTGCCTGAATCACTATCCATTATTAACTCACTTTTCAATATATTTCAAACTGTACGCTGTTTAACACCTAAAATGGATTTTATTCTCAAGTGTATATCTTTCTTACACTGACAATTCTACATGTGAATATAGCTTGATTGCCTGTCTCTTTCACAGTAATGAAATGTAGAAGTAAGAAGGAGTTGTGTAGCTGATGTAATGGTTTATAATCAAATGCTATAATTTGTAGGTAGTCTTATATAAGTGTCAAGTGATTAATCAATGAGCTCTGATACATTATCTGTGATATGACAAGGTAACAAAGAAAAGGGAAATTAAGGAAAATATTCTTGTCTCAAAGTAATTTTAATTGTAAGTTCAAACAATCAGTTGCTGAAGCAAAAATATGTTAATCCAAAGCAACAGTTGTAATCATTATTAGTTATTTTAGGGGTGATATTTTGTGTACAGTTGACTTTAAAGGATTTAGTCCTATGAACAATTTTTCATACCCAGACAGTTCTAAAGATGGGTAACTGCTACTTAACAAATTAGAAGCATTTTTAATATAAATTTGAAGTTTTATATCAGTAGAATAACCATCATTATACTCTGCCACTAGAATGGGCAATCTAAAGCACCAGAATTTCATACGGCCCCCAACTATCTTTTTTAAGCTCTCCAGAACTACTTCTGATCCCAAGTACTGAAGATTGGTACCATAGTGGGTTTTTTTAAAAAAAAATTCTGAAGTAGAATATATATGAAAACCATAGTATGAACCCTAAAATACACAAAATATAATTTAAAGTATTTTTTGAGGCAAAAGAGCTGAACCCAATGCTATATATTCTATGGAAAATATATTTAGTTATGTGAACTCTATCTGCAGTCTGAAATGGTAGAATTCAGAAACAAAGTTTGACCACCTGCGTAAGAACACAAGTCCTTTGTAAACTGAATGAAATTGATGAAGAACCAGACTTTTCTAATTGCCAATAAATTATTCTTGATTGTGACAAGCAACTCGGCAGCTGTTCGGCAGCTGTACCAGGGGTGTCAAATTTGATTTCACTGAGGGCCACATCAGGGTTGTGTTTGGCCTCAGGGGGCATGGAGTGGGTGTGGACAATATGGGTATGGCCAGCTTGATGTCACTCATATTGGGGGCGGCTGTGGTAGCCCAAGCATTCTGCCAGCGAAAACTGGCTCCCAAGCTCAGTTTTCAGCTGCGACGGCCTCCTGCAATCCTCTGCCAGTGAAAATGGATCTTGCAAGGGCCACCTGTGGCTGACCTGAGCTCTGTTTTTGCTGGCAGAGGCACCATGGGCTGGTCCTTCGCTGTTTCCAGGGCAGCCCCGCAGGCCAGATCTAAGCACTCCATAGGCCGGATCCAGTCCCTGAGCCTTGAGTTTGACACCCCTGTGTTATACAGTTAATCTGAATGCAAGTCTGAATAATTTGCATGACTATGGCGGAATGCATTGTTGAGATATCATTGATTTCAAAGCAATGTGTTTACAGAATGTTCAGTGAATTTCATTATTTTTGGGATATAATTTTTATTAAGAGGTTTTTTTTACAAAGATAAAATATGAAAATATATAAAGAAAAAAAGAAAGAAGAAAAAGAAAAAGAAAGAAGTACAGAAAAAGAAAAAGGATAATTAAAGAAACAACCAGAAAAAAGAAGTGACTTCCAAATCTGTTTTCAGCAGTTCTAAATAAATTCATTATTAATCCCTCCTTCTTTGATATTACAAAAATGTCTTCAGCCCCTTATTCAATCTTTCTCAATTATTTAATTTAGAAATCATTATTTCACTTATTCTCATTTTGTCAGACACATACTTGAATCTTCTCAGATTGATGGTTGGCACCGGAGTGAAACTAGATAAAGTTCAGTGGCATTCAAGAAGGTTGGACTTTACCCTCTTGTGCTCAAATCGGGATTCCAGACTAATTCTCCATTTGACTCCTCTCCCTACCTCAGCCAGTCTCTCTCGTATAATTGTTTTGATCCTGACCAAATAGGTCAGTTTTGCAATTTCTGCAATGTTTGTCATGTTCACAATCCATTCCTCAATTGTGGTTATTTCAGTATTTCTCCACTATTGTGCATATAATGCACATGCACATAATATATATGTATATTTCAGAAGCTCACATTGGGAAAGGAGAGCAGGTCCCTCCATCCTAGCTTCTTTGCAGGCCATATGGCTCTGTCCTGGGCACCATTTTGGAGTGACCATAACTCATCACAGTGCCTCCAAAATTGATGCTTGGTTATGAAATGGACTCACACAGCCTCCACTGTTTAGGAAGGCCACATGGTGCAGTGGCTGCTTCCCGAAGGATACTTATAGTATAGAGCAAAGGGGCTCTTTTGTGATACTGCCGCTCTAGCCTGTGGCATGCTAAGAAAGCATGGTGCTTGATAGGGTTGAGGAATGCAAGGGGCCAAAAGGATAAAGATAGGAGGAGATAGGAGGTTGAAGCACTCGGTGGTCAAAAATGTGGGCAGACTGTCAACGACGGCTTCCTGCAACTCTCTGCCAGGGAAAATGGAGCTCCGTTTTTGCTGCCAGAGGCACCACGGGCCGGTCCTGGTATCCAGGTTTGCCCCATGGGCCAGATCTAAGCACTCCATGGGCTGGATCTGTCCCTCGGGCCTTGAGTTTGACATCCCTGTACTAGACCTACTATATTTAATTTAATGAGAGTGACCACAAAGGTGCTGAACTCTCCCAAACAGCCATTTTTATTAAAATAAAAATAGTTGTGATGCATTTGTGGGAGTGAAGATGATGCTTTGCAACACACTGACTTGTGGTTTAACTAAAACTAAAAAGGAAAAAAGCAAACAATAAGAAAAGGCATTAAGGAACTCCCATTAAAGGTGCAAATTTCATCACATTAGGTCTGAAAGCAGCCCAACTAAATGCAACCAACTGCTAAAGAAAGACAAGGGAGAATCTTTCAAACAGATTCCCCCCTGGAAATAATTTAGTTTAATATTCTTTCACTGTGAATGATTAGTTGTACCTTTATTCCACTGTTGTTTGATTGCAGAAGAGATATCAGATCCATCCATCCATCAATCAAGCCAAAATGATATTGCACCAATTTCAATAACATTTGGCAGAAAGAGAATAACAAATACTAAACCAAAGAATAAAAACATGAGACAGGAACAGGAAAAAGATACAGAGCTATAACTAGATTACAAGACTACTATTCATTTTGCTTTTTGGTACCTTCATATCCTTGCATGCTACCCTAGGTTTAACTTCTCTGGTTATTTTTTATTTATTTCCTTTACTTCCATACACAGTTTTTCCCAAGTCAACCATTGGCAAATAATAATCTCTTCTGTATTCTTATCACCTTCACAAATTTTCTTTCATCATGAACTATTTATTTGTTTATTTATTTACTTATTTATTTTATTTGCTGCCCATCCCGCCACAAGGCAACTCAATCATGCCTTTAGATTTATATTTAGTTCTTTTCAATGTGGTGAACTTAAACCACATATCTTAAAAAAGGATATCTTTATCTAAGCA